AAATCCAGCTACCATCAAATTGCCATCCGACCAAAAAACCAGCACAAAATCGCATTTCAAACCAGGTACAGTCTGTAGGAGTTTGCGATGATGCCCCAGGTACATTCCATCACACCATAAATAGGATATTTCACGACTCCTTAGGTAAGTTCATCAGCATGTACTTCGACAACATACTTATCTATAGTAGAACAATCGAGGAGCATACTTAGCACTTAGAAACTGTACTTTCACTCCTGCGACAACACTAGTATAAGATTAACTTCGAGACATGCGAGTTCGGTCGCACTAAAATCTTGTACGTGGGCCATGAAGTATCGTGGATGGCATAAGGCCCGAAGATGCCAAGGTGGCCGGCATTCGTGATTGGCCACGACCTCGGTCTGTGACCGAGGTCAGATCATTCTTAGGGATGGCTTGCTACTACCTCAACTTTGTCAAGAACTATAGCACGGTGGCCAACCCTTTGACTGATCTAACTCGCCTTAACACGCCATGGGAATGAACTAACGAGTGTGAAGCTGCTTTCAGTCGATTGAAGCATGCTCTCTCGCACCATGAGGTTCTCATGGTTCCCGATTCTATAAGGCCATTTGTTGTCACCACTGACACAAGCCAATATGGCATTGGCGAAATGCTGGCTCAGCAAGAAGGGAAGAAGTTGCAATTGATTGAATGCATGAGGAAAAAAACGCCATCAAAGAAATTGGCCAAGTCCACCTATGAAAGGCAACTCTACGCCCTCTACAAAGCACCTGTCCACTGGAGACACTGCCTGTTGGGAAGCTTCTTTTATCCGAGGACTGACCATCAGACACTCAAATGGATCAAGACACAACCTATTCTCTCTGATGAACTCAAAACGCTGGATTGAGATCATAGATCAGACTTCAAACAAGTGAATGTGAAGAGAGAGTATAACAAGGTTGCTGATGCGCTACCACATAGGGCAGATTACCTGGGTGCGCTAATAACTGAGTTTGGCTTATATGATGATGTAACTCAATATGGTGGAAGCCTACAAGGAAGATTTTGTCATGATGAACATCATCCGCAAACTTGAGGCCCAAGACAAGGCCACATGTGATGAGCTTGTGATGTTGGATGGGTTACTCTTCCTCGAGCAGGGTTCAAGAGATTCTAGTTGTTCCAGCTAGTGAGATTTCGCGCAGTTTATTTTTAGGAGAATGTGATGATGCAATGGGACATTTTGGTTATAAGAAGACCAGTGCAACAATTTTGGTGGCCTGGTATGCTAGACGAAGCCAAGCACTTCGTTCAGCCTTGTCAAGTCTGTGAGCGAGATAAGCCGCGAACTCAAGCCTCTACCCATTCCTGCTGGTCCGGGACATAGCACCTCCATGGACTTCATGGATACCCTCGTGACCAGCAAGAGTGGCAAGAGGCATACCTTCGCCATAGTTGATAGGTTCAGTAAGTATGCTAGACTGATTGCCATGCCAACGACTGCAAGAATTGAGCACGTTAGCAAGTTATTTATCGATAACTGGGTACGTGCCTTTGGACTGCCAAAGACTATCGCTAGTGACAAAGATGTCCGTTTCACCAGCGAAATGTGGAAGAAGGCTGCAGAACAGATGGGCAGCCAACTCCAGATGACTTATGGGAATCATCCCGAAGCCAACGGGCAAGCTGAACAGATAAACCGAGTGGTGCAGCATCTGCTGAGGCATTACATAAAACCCAGCCAGGATGATTGGGATGAGAAGTTGCCTCTCATTGCCAGCCTGTACAACAATATTGTGCACAACATCACAAGTGTCAGCCCGAATCAGCTGCATCTGGGATGGAAGTGCGGGGTGAAGAGGATGGTCCCTCGTATGTAATTTGAATCCCTGGTCACCTACGCACTTACATTGTGTTTCACGCCTCAAAGCTTGCACCTTTCCCTGCGACACAGAAGTTCCCATCAAGGAGATCTATGCTGCCCCCAACCACGGATGGCCACGTGGACGTCGATGACATTTTGGAGCACAAAGACATGCCCGTTCCTAAACCTGTGGGCAGAGGAAGACCACCGAAACCCAAGCGGGAATACTGGGTCAGATTCAGGCATCTCACAGATCCAAATGAAGACCGATAGTTCACCCGAGAGGAACTGGTTGAGACAACACCTCAGATTGTGGCAAACTACGAAAAAGGTTGAAGGGGAAGGCACCTGCATGAAGCATCTTAGTGGACTTTCCAAGGTTGGATAGAATATGAGGAATGTGTCCTCATGCTGGCCTATGCAGGCATTGCTGACACGCTGCTGCACTAGCATTGGCTGGGGTGTGCACGGGCGCTGAGAGGGCGCTGCAGGGCAGCGGGGCGCTAACGGCCATAGCCGGGCTGCTGGGCGTGAGGCAGAGGAGGGCGACAGTGGTCTTCAAGAGGAGGCACAGTGTGGGTGGAGAGGGGGTGATGAGGGAGACGAGAGTACGTACCTGGTGTATGTGGGAGGTCGGTATTGGTGTTGACGACATGTACATTGGTCTTCAAAGTAGAAGTGAGCCTGTTGCATGAATGTAGTATAGGCTAGATAGGACAGGTAGAGTAGACTGGGCGCTGGGTGCCAGACAGAGAGGAGCAACATTGAATACTGCGTTGGTGTGGCTTGAGGGCTCACAAGTTCTTTGTATTGCTCTTATTTGGATGGAATCATGGTGCATTTTAGCTCTCTGCTTGTTACATGACTATCTGGACTTCTGCGTGATTTTGCAACTTGGTTTTCTGTATATTGCTCTCACTCAAATTGGTTGCATATGGCTCTCAGGGGGAAGGGTCGAGTAAACTAGGTTGCTTGTCCAACCCCGTGACCCATAAATTTCTTATAAACTCTCTAGGATATTGCAGCCTATGCCATCAGTCACCAGTATCCCACAGGCTGAACTAGATACGCTGAGAGAACGTTCGTGCCAATACTTATAGCTCTTCAAGAGTACAGCTTGACGGCCAAAAGGTTATGGATTCAGGTTTCAGATCGTCGAGGCAGAGCATTTTCTGTTTGTTTCTGTCTAAATACGGTGGGTCATCAGTCCGAAAGTATCTTGCCTGCCTGGCTGTCCAGATACATGTAGTGGACCGAGGTCCATTCTTGGGCCTGCACTTCGGATAACATTGTTACTCTGATTTCATGAGCCGCCACACAACCCATAACTTATTCCCCACAGCATAGGGACGTTGCAGAAGCATATAATCTCAGCAAAGCTGCCATAACGACAGATTGTTTCAGTTCTTGCATAGGGTGGATGAGCATCAGGACTGTTGCAACTGGTCTGTGATACATTGGGCAGCATACTGCCAAATTGCCAAGTAGGAAAAACGGGGCCTCTAGAACCTACATCTTGAAAAAATGCGCGGTGGTTTTTCACCGCTGATCTGCCAAGATCACCGGCAGAGAGATCTTTGCCTGTTCTTTTCAATAAGTGGGGTCCACACGGCCCCGATTTTTTTTTCCTTGTGAGGAGACAACTGCCTCCCGCAGGATGGGCAACTGCAGGGATGCCCTTACTCCCCGGTGCCCCCCCCCCCCCCCCACGTGATGCGCTGTGTTCGGCCGGAGGTCTGCCGGTCTGGTCGACCACCCGGTCAGGCTCCCGGTCGAGGGAGGGGTCCCCGGTCCAACTGGGAAGCAGCCCTGTGAAAACCTTTGATTTTTCATAATTTCCTTGTTTTGTTTCTGGGCCCGCCTTATTACAGGTGACCCAGCCTTGCGAGGACCAGTGAAGGGCCTAGCAAAATAAAAAACAAGAAGAAAAAGAAGAAAACTAAAAAAATGAAAAAAAAAAAAAACTTTAAGTCATGCAGAAAAATAAACTGAACAACTTCTGCCACAGGGTCACATCCAAATTCTTTACCAAATTTAAAATAAAAGATTGAAATATATATTTATTTATTTATTTTTTTTGCCCAGCGGGCCACTCCGGTAGCCTTCAAACCACTAGTACCTCTCCCAGTGCTGGGAAATTATGTCAAAATGCCCATTCCCAAAGAATTCGCGGGTGGGACCCAGGGTCGGTAAGTTCCATAAATCTTAGTTTTATATTGCCTGCGCGTGAATGGAAAAGAAAAAAAAAAGGAAATGCCTTCTCTACTGCAATGATGTCGGGCAGAGTAGCCTAGGTGCTCACAGTCTTCCTCCACAGAATGAATCTTACAGCTAACACTGTCACATTCTAAATGTTTTTGTTTTTGTTTTTCTTTCTCGTTTGTTTGTTACGAGTCCCCTGCCACATTCTGAATGTTGTTGTTTTCTTTTTTTTTCCTTGTTTGTTTGTTAAGAGTCGCCTGCCAACGAGGCAGGGGGAAATCCGTGATCTGCTCACGCTGTGTTTTTCCTTCTGGAATCTGACCTGGCCATGGGGCTGAGATGCCCTCACTGAGGGCGCACTTGAGGGCGCACTCACACTACCACTTCCAAGAACGTATACAACTGCAAACACGGCCAAAGCTTTGTTTCCTTTTTTGTTTTTTTCTTTTGTGAGTTTCATGGCCGCAACTTTTCTTCTGTTTTTTTTCTTTTTTGAAGTTTTCTTATTTTTGGGTGAGAGTACCAGAAAGAAAATGGAGTGGGACTCAGGCTCGGCAAAACTCAGATCAAAGTGAAATTCAGGGTCGGGAAAAACAGGCTCGGAGGTACAAGTGGTTAAAAAGAAACAAAAAAAAAACGGGCGTCCGGAAATTTTACAGAACCAAAACCAAGGACGGCTGGCACAGATGTCCAGATAGACACCACCAACGTTTGTTTTTTTCATAGGATTTGAAGCATTGGAAGATCGAGGAATGGCTTACAAAACAATTATTAACTAATATTGCATGAGCTGTCCAAACGGGCAGATAGCTTATACTTTAAGCAATTAAAAAAAAGAAAAAGGGGAATTATTGTCATTCGTTGGAGAAATGGCACATCCAACTGAGTGGATGGTCAGAAACAGAAACTATTAATTATCCAGATTCTTTTTCAATTTCTTAAATTATTATCAAATTTATTCTCATACCTGTTTGTCAGGCAGAGGAAGACTCCTGTTCTCCAGAGCCATCTTCCAATTAATGAGGTCCTCTCTCGTGAGGGGACTGAAAACAATCGCAACACACAACGAGATGCAGCCAGCCCAGCACAGTTTGCCACTCGCCAATTAGTCACAGGCGTAAATGCAGAGGTGTTCTTCCTTCCCCCCCCTCCCCACACCCAAAAGAGATGAGCCAGACAATATATAGCCTAGCAACTCCATCACTGGAAAAAAAACAAAACATTTCTGCCCCTTGCAAACCTTTCCTAAGTGAAAGTCTGTCCTTTGTTCAGTCTGTACAAGGCTCCACGTTTTCGTTCCATGCTCCACATACGACATAATAATTAATTGGAAAACATGTTCTGCGCAGCCTTCCTCCCACACACCCAAACGAGATGAGCCAGACAATATATAGCCTTGCAAACTCGATCACTGGGCAAAAAAAAAAAAACATTTCTGCCCCTCGCAAACATTTCCTAATAGAATGTCTGTCCCTTGTTCAGTCTGTACAAGGCTCCACGTTTTCTTCCCTCGCTCCACATACGATATAATAATTAATTGGGAAAAATGTTCTGCGCAGTCAGTCTGACAGGCCCCGACGTGTGCGCACAAGTTGCCCTAAAATTCACAACAACAGGTAACGAAGGAAAGGAAAATAAATAAAAACAAATCTTCAAAAAGAAAACCAGATAAATGTCCTTTGGGACATCCTTTAGAATTGGGACGATACAGGGAAAATATTGACATGGCCCCTGCATGCACAGGGGCCTGGAATTGGGACGATACAGGGAAAATATTGACATGGCCCCTGCATACACAGGGGCCTGGACCCACTCGTGAAGTATTCTACGACGTGTGACGCAATTTTATGGTTTTTTGGAAAAGACAAAGTTATTTTTCATTTGCATGAATGGATCGTTTTCCGATATAAAATGAATTGAAATGGCACATAAAACAAAGAAGAACAACTGTGCACCCGAATTCATGGGTTGGTACGCCTTAACGTAAGTCTTCATAGTGATGTACCGTGGCAATAAAATGTGTCCACGAACACAGCCACGAGGATGAACAAGTAACGGGTATGGGGATTCCTGTCGGATCCACCATGATATTGGAATTTCACATTTCATGTTCGATTTCTCAGAGCCAAAAAAAAAAAAAAACGAAGTCTGGAAATCAACCCCCCTCCTTTCGGTCCATAAAATCCAGACTCCCCCCCCCACGCAACGCCACGAGCTATCATGTCCAAGTTTGTTTTTCTTTTTTTTTCGAAGCATCTCATTGGACGGAGGTGGGAATCTTTACAGTCCCCGCTCGGAAACTACCAGGCCGTCGAGATCCGATGCATTCGACGGCCGTACTGCGTCACTCGAGGCCACACGTGATCGAAATCCTGAACAGAGTGGTAGAATACTTCGCTAATGGGTCCAGGCCCCAGGGATGACAAGTAATTTTATTTTTTTTAATGCTGGTCTTACCGTCTTAGTACTTATTTTTTTAATGGTGGGCCTAAGACTTTTAGTGCATGCCAAATGGAGCCAAAAAAAAAATATGCTTGTTTCTGAAAACTACGGCTGCATGGGTTTGACCTCGGTCTCACAGGGTACAAACCCCGACTCCACCCATTTCATCTACCCCTTGCTGACAAACAAAGGCCAGAAATCTGATCGTTCCACTTTCCCTGGCCAACAACCCTCCCAAAGCCTACCGGTCCCCACTTCATATACATATGATGACATTAAACACACCACATATCATGACCAGACAATGAATGTAAAGATTGTTAATTTGCAATGTGTGGCGGTACGTATGTGCGAAAGCAGGCGAACCATACAGCTACAGTCGGCGATTATTATGCTTTGTACTTTGCCACAGTTCTTAAGATCCGCAACCACATAGCCAAAAGCCATGCCAAACAGCCATCTATAGTTAAACAGCCAGATACTCAGATACCCAGATAGACATACAGCCATATAGTCAGATAGGCATATAGCCATACAGCCAGATAGCCAGGTAGAAGTTGCATGGCTTCCCCCTTTCTTTCCAGGGGTCTCTGCTCCTAGAAAGAAGCGAAACACCATGCAACCGCCAATGGGCCTAGCTCAGTTGGTGTCAACCCTGACCAGTTGCACATGTGCAATGATGAGTGTCTTCATCTCAACATAGACCTCTGGACGCACATGTGAACCTTCCTGGAGTC